GCCTCTTCCGGGGCGGCGAGCTGTGCGCCGCCGCGTCCCGGCTTTAACCGCCGCTGTGCGCTGACGATGGGAACCTCCCCAGTGTGCCGCAGCGAGAGAACGGGAGAGACACACGAGTTGCTCGGGGAGGGGCAGGGCTCCGCGGGTTAAACCATCCGGATTACATAAACCATCCGTATTACACCCGAAGGAGATGCAGCATGTTATAAATGCTCAGAGTCCAATAGGTTAATTTAGAAATTTATTTGTAAAATGTTACAATAAAAAGGTGAAAAGGGCAATAAGCAAACAGCGCTGGGCGTGCCGGGGAGTCTCTGCTCTACCAACAGCGTGCAACGGAGTTCGGAGTCTTCTCTCTTTTATATTGTAGCCCTTGGGAAAATTATGCAAAGCCAGCAGCTGAGGGGGTGTTGCTCATTCCTCTGGGGTCGTTGGGAGGAAGTTCTGCAAAACTTGCTAAAGCAATATATAATAGTCACAGATATTCTGAAGCAATATATAATAGTCGCAGCATTCAAACTAATTACACATCCTGTTTTTAGTTTTTGTCTTTTCTATGCCTGATAAGGAAGTTGTAAATTTTCAAGGCTTGCTGAGACAATTTCCTCTACAAATTGTGGTCAAAGCCCATCTGTAGTTGCTGCATCAGCATTCTTGATACTATATCTTTTGACACAAATCACACTTACGTTTTTCACAAGCAGATGTATCGAGTCCGTGCCCATGTGTGACATTTCTACATGGAAACGTTAACTTAGGGTCCCAGAGAGTGAGTTTTCACGTGCTGCGGATGTGGTTTTCACAGGGGGCTCGTGGCTGATACTTGCTCGTAAAACATTTTGGGACCTGTTCCCAGGGTGTTCTCACCGTCATGCTGCTCTTGTGCCACTCTTCAGGTTCTGGTGGTGGGCTGTGGAAACTCAGAACTGAGCGAGCAGATGTATGACGTGGGGATGTGCGAAGACATCATGAACATCGACATCAGCGATGCAGTGATCCGTCAGATGCAAGAGCGGAGCAGGAGCAAGAGGCCAAAGATGAGCTACCTGCTGATGGACATGCTTCAGATGGACTTCCCCGATGCCCACTTCCAGGTGGTCCTGGACAAAGGCACGCTGGATGCCATCCTGACTGATGAAGAGGAGGCCACTCTAGCCAAAGTGGACAAGATGTTTGCAGAGATCAGTCGGGTCCTACAGGTGGGAGGGCGCTACCTCTGTGTCTCCTTGGCTCAAGCCCATGTGCTGAAGAAAGCGGTGGAATACTTCTCCCAGGAAGGCTGGGTCGTGCGTGTCCATCAGGTGGCCGGCAGCGGGGACAAGCAGCAGTTTGTCCTACCTGTCTTTGTCTACGTCATGACAAAGTTCAGGAAGATCACTGGGTCAGCACCACAGATCCTGGAGATCTGCCCTGAAGAGCAGGAGAAGCCGATGCGGGTGGAGAGTGCGGAGCGGCTGGTCGCGGCGGTGAAGGACAGGCAGCATTACGCCCTGCTCTGCAGCCAGCTGAGCAAAACCCCCTGCGGGGAGCAGGTTTCCCTCGACCTGTGCGATAAAGAGAGCGGGAAGCCTCGCTACACACTGCACGTGGTTGACAGCCCCTCGGTGAAATCTTCCCGGGACAATCACTTCGCCATCTTCATCAGTGAGTACAGCCTCTGCTGCCTGCAGTGAGATGGTGCTCTGGCCAGGAGCTGCAAAATAGCAAGCAGGCCTGAAATCAGGCCCAGAAAGGGAAATAACCTGCCTATGGTGGGTTTAGTTGATGTTTTAGTCCTGGCTTTGTGACAGGACTTGTGTTTGCCTGATGGTGCAGCCACCTGTCTGGTAGCAGAGGGATGCTCCCTGCCCTGCTTCCAAGGTGGTGATTCCTGCCTTGATGCTGGTGACAGCCACCATAGCACATCACTGCATAAAGCCAGATTGCAGCGGATGCAGATGGAAAAGTATCGCTGTTTTGTGTGGGTGTCTTGACTTGCCCAGGCCAGGCTGCTCAGAGCTGTGTTTCACTTTGGTGCTTGCACCTTGTGGAGATGCATCGTGTTGTGCCAGCAGCACTGTTCCCTGTGCGACTGCAAAGCTGGGCCTTAGTGCAGCCTGGAGATGGGTTGTGAGGTTGTTGCATGCCCCTTTCTCAGGAGCTTTGGCTTTTCTAGCCTCTTACACAAGCTTGCCCCAAACGAGGAAGCTCCTGGCTCTGCTGATGCTTGCAGAGCGTGGCTCTGGGCATGCAGTGGTGCTTCCTCAAGATGTCTTGCCGTTCCTTACAGCTCCTCTCTTGGAGGCTGCGGTAATTGCTCAGGGGCCAGGACTGGCCCAGGCTCACAATAGCCCCTTCTGCAGTCCCACAGGGCAGAGAAACCGAGTGGCTCTTTGGGACGGAGGAAGGGCGGAGGCAGTTGGCGGCTAGCGCGGGCTTTGGGCGCCTGGTCACCGTGGCCCTGCACAGGGAGCAGCACTACGAGGGCATGGCGGGCATCCAGGCGGAGCTGTCGGGGAAGGTGATGGAACTGGCGCCGCCGGGCCTCCCTGCCCGGCAGCAGGTGAGCCCCACCACCCAGCCCTCTTGCTTGGCTTCCCTGAAGCTGGAACCAGGCTGGGTCTCCTCCAGCAGCGAGTCCCTCTTCTCCAAGGGTGACTGAGCTGCAGCACATGAGCTGGCTGCCTTGGTGGGGAGGAGACTGGCCTTACGTGTAGCTTCTCTGGTTTTCCCTCCCTCTGGCTGCATTTGTTTGGAGGCAGGATTTGAGGTGCCTCCATGGCAGGATTCAGTGTGAAGTCCTTGCCCTCCAAAACCCAGCATCCCAAGAAAACCAGGCATCCCGAAACCATGAGAGCATTTGACCCCTTCTTAATCCTGGCTTTAACTTTCCTCCCTTCTGTCTCCTCCTTCCTGCCCCAACTCCCCAAACCCGAGCGCTGGCAAGAAGTCTTGGGATGTTTGCTCCCTGTATCCAAACACATGTATGGGAGGGAAGCTGGTGTCTCGTGCACTGGTCTGCAGCTCCTCTGTGGCTTCCTGCAGCACATCTTGCTGATCCTGCACCGTGTCCGCTTCATCCCAGCTCCTTAGCCCTGGTCAGGATAGCAGGAACGCCAAGGTCTGTTCCCGTAGCCTTTCCTTCCTCACACCAGTCTCTGTCCTCCCTGCAGGTGCCCTTCCTGTCTGTGGGAGGGGACATCGGGGTGAGGACAGTGCGGCACCGCGGCACCAGCCCCCTGAGCGGGGAATACGTTGTGGAGGATGTGAAGGGTGATGGCACCTGCTACTTCCGACGCCTCCTCTTCCTCCGCAACAGGAACGTGGTGCAGTCAGAGGCTCGGCTCCTGGACCCCACACCTCTCCCAGGTACAGGGGGCAACCAGGAAGGTGTAGGGGCCAAGGGTGACTTTTTTGGGGTGGCAAGAGGGTGAGATCAATACAGGAGAAATGTTAAAGTCATTCTGGGACCTGCCCATCTTGTCCTGGAGCAGCTATGGGAACGTTTTTACACTCCGCTGCATGCCCTTTGGGTGGGACAGAGGCTGGGGGTAGCTAGTCCCCAAAAAGCACCCCTCTCTCCCACTTTGCCTTACCAGCCAATGCCTCCTGTGTTCAGGCCAGAAGAAACGGAGGAAGGACAAGAGGAAATCCAGCGCCGCTGAGCCACCTGCAGCCATCGACAAGAGCTACCTGTGCTGTGAGCACCACAAGGCCATGGTCGCGGGGCTCTGCCTGCTGGGGAGTCCGGACTGCCTCCCAGGTGATGAGGCTGGCAGCTGTAGGCTGTGCCAGGAGCAGGCGTGCGTGTATCCATATGCCCCAGCTCCTCGGGGAAGGGCTTTCCTGGCCAAGGTGCCATATGCACCCTTCCTGAAATGATTTGAGGCTGGTGGGTGGGACAAGCAGTGGGAACACGGCCATCCTGGTGGCTCACTGGGCGCTCTCCATTGGCAGGAACCACGCTGACGGTGCTGGTGGTGGGGCTCGGCGGGGGCAGCCTGCCCCTCTTCGTCCATGACTACTTCTCACAGGCCCGTGTGACTGTGGCAGAGATCGATCCCTCCATGCTGGAGGTGGCTACACGCTGGTTCGGCTTCTCCCAAGGTGACCGGCTGCAGGTGCACGTCTCTGATGGCCTGGACTACGTGGCCAAGCTTGCGGCTGAAGGTACCATCTCCTGGAGCATGCTGGGTGCCCCATCAAGCCCAGCGGGTGACGTGCTGAGGGACCAGAGTCCTAGGCTGCTTCCACCCTCTGCTTTCTGTCCCTGCATATCTTCTGCCGTGCTTTACAAGCTTCAGCCTCGTCAGGTCTCTGCAGCTCACAAGCCTGCCCTTGCCGACGTGTGCTGCAGAACTTAAGTTTGCCATCTCCTCCAGCACCAAGGGCTGCTGCCCTGGGTTTCATTTGAAAAAAGAAACCTCAGGAGAGAAAAGTGGCAGTAACATGGCAGTAACATGAGTACCCCATTCATTGCCTCCCCACTCTGTGTGTTAGAGTCCAGAGAGGGGTAATTGAGCTGGTGAAAGGTCTTGAGAATAAGTCATGTGAGAAGCAGCTGAGAGACTTTGGGTTGTTTAGTCTGAAGAAAAGGAGACTGAGGGGAAACCTTATCACTCTCTACAACTACCTGAAAGGAGGGTGCGGAGAGGTGAGTGTTGGTCTCTTCTCACAACTTACAACCGATAGGACAAGAGGAAATGGCTTCAAGTTACAGCAGAGGAGGTTTAGATTAGACATTAGGAAAGACTTGTACACTGAAAGAGTTATCAAAGACTGCAACAGGCTGCCCAGAGAAGTGGTTGAATCACCATCCTTGTATGTATTTAAAAGCCATCTGGGTATGGTGCTCAGGGACCTGATTTAGAAGTGGACTTGGCAGAGTTAGATAATGGTTGGACTTGCTGATCTTAAAGGTCTTTTCCAACCATAATGATACTATGATTCTATGATTCATTTCTGTCCCATGGGATAACAAGTTTCTATGGTCTCTCCTGCAGCCCCGGCTCACTATGATGCCGTCATGTTTGATGTGGACAGCAAAGACCTCATGGTGGGAATGAGCTGCCCACCTCCAGCCTTTGTGGAAAAGCCTTTTCTGCAGAAAGTTAAAACCATCCTCAGGCCAGAAGGTAGGAGGGGAGATCTGGTTGTGTTCCAGTGGCCAGGCTGGCCAAGTCTTGTGCTGAGTTTGAGCAATGGGGCTGTGCCACTGTTACGCATCCTGGAGAATGGAAGCCGCAGTCAATTGCTGCATGCTATCTGCTGCTCCCAGTGGGTCCCAGATCCGGGTGTTTTCGTGGGTGTTGTGACAGCAGGAAGCAGAATGGAGAGGGTAGCCTGCAGTGCTGCGGGGTTGGGCAGACCGAGACATCCCTGGGGGCCGTGAAAGGTTGTGGGAAGGCAGAGAGTGTAGGTGGTATCTGGGAACAGATAGCATGGCCACCCACAACCCATATGGTGTCAGGGACATGGAGCTGGGCCAAGGGCACTGAGGGGGATGCTGGTACTCCTCGTACTGCCGCGGGGGAGACATTTGCACCAGAGTGGCACCGATTCAGCTGCTTTCCCACGGGGAGATGAGGAGCAGGGCGATGTGTGCAGGCTGCTCTGAACTCCCGTCACTCTCACTCTGCTGCAGGAGTCTTCGTGCTCAACTTGGTGTGTCGTGACGCCCAGCTGAAGGAGTCTGTCCTGGCCACCCTCAGGGAGGTCTTCCCGCTGCTCTACGCACGCAGGATTGAAGGAGAGGTCAACGAGATCCTGTTCTGCCAGCCCAGCCCCGAGGGCCGGCGGGACCCCACGGAGCTGGGAACACGTGCCCGAGCACTGGAGGAGGCCTTGCGGCAGCCTGGGCGCCCCTGGGACAGCTCATACATGCTGGCAGACATGCTGCAGGCTGTCAAGATCCTCTGAGAGGGGACTTGATGCTGCTGGATGGAGACAGATGTCCCTGCGTGGGTGCTGCAGTGGAGGGGTGCCTGTGGCTGGGACTGCAGCCCTTGAGGGGCTGGCGCTGGCCTGGGTCTGCCTGAAGGAGGTGACTGGTAAGGGAAGGTTCTCCCCGGGAAGGGGTCCAGGTCCATGGGAGGCTGTGCAGCCCGAAGGGCAGTGTTGGGAGGAGGAAGGTGCTGTGGGACTGGTAGGACTGTGGGTTTACGTCTGTTCCCATTGCTTTCCTGTTGTGGGAAAAACATCCTTCTGACCACCCCCTTCTTCTCCAGCACGGTTCCTTCCCTCTGATGCTGCCTCTCCCTGCATCTCCAGCATCCCTGGTCACTGGTGTCTGTGCAGAGCCCCAGCCCTGCCCCAAGCCTGGTTATGGGTGTGTGTGGGTGGGCGGAGAGCTGTGAAAATAAAATGCTCAGGGCTGCTTCAGCCCACAGTGCTTCACTAGGTTTATTTCTAGAGCACCCAGCAGCCCTGGAAAAGGTACAGTCACCTCTACTCCCACACTCACTGTATCCTCCCCATGCACCATCCCCAAACTGGACCCAACCATGTGCCTACCCCTCTCCTGCTTCTCTCCAGCCATCATTACTGTGAGCTAAGACCTGCAACCCCATGGGCCCCCAACTCTTCTTTGCTGCTCTGCCCCCACCTTGGGGCCAGCAGGGACCCAGCCCTGGGCACACCAACTCGCTCCCCCAGCTGGTGCAGGTCAGCCTTCCTTCAGGCTCAAAAGGCAGCAGGAAAATGCCTGTTGGGGTGTTCCCATGGCACCCCATTCCTTCCCAGGTGGCTCATTTTTGTCTCTCCCAAGGGTTTCAAAGCCTTGTCCTTGCCTGTGAGGTGTAGCTGAAGAGCTGACCCACTGAAGAGCTCGCACACTCAGGGTGGGGGTGGAGGAGGGGCTTGTCTTTCTCCCGTCCAACAGCCGGTACCAAAATGAGTCTGAGACATGGTACCAAAGTGACTGGCTTGTGGACATCAAGGTGACAATGAGCTCGGGCACAATGATGTTTTGCTGCTGAACACACAGCATCACTCTGTGCTCCCTTCTACCGCTGGCACCTGGAACAAGGACATCCTTCTGGCAGCTGCTTCCCAAAGCAAACCGTCCCCAACCACCTTTCCACAGCCAAGGGTGGTAACAACACCCCAGAAGCAGCTCCAGCGGGGATCTGACCCAGCCATTGACATGGAGGCAGTAGCAGTCGTATCCCATCATCACTGCTGAAACCATCTCGCCAGCTTTGTAGCTCACGCGCCCTATCCCACCAGGGGTTTGGTAGGCTGCTATTCATCACCCTGCCCTTCCTCAGCAGGATTGGGGTTTCCTTCACCTACAAGAAATTCAGCTTTTTTGTTTAGAAAGTTGAGCAAAAAGGTGCATGAGCCTGAGGGTTTGCAATTCCCCAGCGCTGTGGAGGCCATGGAAAGGACACTGCAAGGGTTCTTACTCCCTGAATTGGTGGGGGCTGCAGCCACCTCACCGATGCAAGAGATGAGGGTTTGGTTTTTTTGTGCCCAGGAGGCACTATGGCAGCTATGCCCACAGCAAGCACATCCCTGCGATTAGCGACTGTGGCTATATTTTCACTTTAATTTGCCAGCACGTTCTGCTTTGTAAACCACCCTGCTCCAATCCCTCTTCTGATGCTCCCTGCCTTATTCCCCATCATGCAGAGGGACAAATCATTGCCCTTCTTTCTCCCTGGGCTGGCCCGTTTCTGTGCAGAGGGAGCAGATGCTTTTTTTAAATAAGTGCTTTTGATGGTTCCCAGGCACTGGAGAGCAGGGCTGGCCTGCTCCCTTCCTCAGATAAAGGATGGCAGCATAGACACATGCCCTCTGTATGTTGTTCACTGCCTGGTGGCTCCCCTGCACTGTAGCATGCTCAGGGCAGCACATGATCTCTGGTCGACGGGAGAGACAAGGCTGGAGCTTGAGCTGGGTGGAAGTCTGCCTGCCCCCCATGCAGTTAGTTTCTAAATCTCTGTGATGAGCACTTTTTTGAAAGACGTCTATTATCTATGCAGCTTAGCAATGGCAAATTTCTCAACTGGATCAGCAGTGCTGCATTTAGTCTATTTTTAAACTTAGTTTTCAATTCTCAACGTAATTCCAATGACATAGATTTGTGTGTGTGCCCTTTATTTTACCTAAACCATCTCTTTTCTTCCCCAGTAGCTCGTACAAAGGCTGCGTTCATCCCTCCCTTGTCCAGTCCCGCCTTTCTGTTGTGTTTCCTAATTGCTGCATAACGCCACATCCTGGTGGAAAAACAAAAGCCATCTATTAGAAATAACATAAAGATGTAGTCTCAGTTATTGCAGCTGTCATTGCAGCTACTGACAGCCCTACAAGTTTGGTCCTGAAATACATTTCAGATGGAAAAATCAGCAAATTCATGACTGCCACAAATACCTGAAGTCTTTCTTTGCAGGTAAAATTCTCCGAGGCTGGAATAATTGATGTGTAGTAAATATTTCTCTCCTGGCAGCCAAAACACAGAGCTAATGTATGTTTGGCATCTGTGTTTCTGTTGAGTGTTTTGGCAATATACTCATGTTTATATCCCTTACTCCTCACTTCCTTCCTTTGCCGCGTAGGCATGCTGTAAGCAGTGGGACAGAAACAAGCACTGCTGTCACTTAGCAACCTCTGCTGGCTTTGAGATGTTGCCTTTTTTTCTTTCTGAATTTCCCAGCACAAAAAGAGATGGCTGCGTAACTCGTTGCATGGCTCAGACATAAGATTGCAGCCAGCTGGGGATGCTTTGGTCTGGTCCAGCCCAAATCCCTCTTGGAGCATCACATCTGTGTCCCGCTGCTGCCACAGTGAGCAAGGCAGTGGGTCAGCCTTGGGTTTTGTGAGCTCAGGTTGAGGGTTGCAGCTGGTCCTGCTCAGCCATGCTGGTTCTTTGGCCCAGGGTGACTCTGCGGCCAGGCAGTTGGCAGGATGGTGATGCTCTGAGGCAGGCATTAGTGGGTTGTCATGTGTGTACCCCATACAGCATAACCTCCTCTAGTGTCACAGCCCAGATCCCTGCTCTGCAGAAGAACTGGAGGTGGCTGGGCTCTCAGGAAGAGGGTGGAGGTGTGTGGGGGACATGCCATCACCAGCTGAAAGTACATCAAGCAGCTGGGAGACATTTTTTGGTAATAAAAGTTGCAGGGATTGAGTGCTGAGGCTGATTTCCTTCAGCTGGGAAGAGCTCTGCTGGGGTGAGCCTGGCCCTGCTGACTGGGGATGGCAGGGTCACAGCACAGCAAGGGCTGCAACACCCATGTCCTGGAGGGTGGAGGTGCCTGGGTAGTGTTTTGTCCGTGAAATCTTCCTTCAGGGAAGCACTTGGCTTGCTTGGCTTTCTGACCAAGGAAGCAGGCATGCTGCCAGGCTGCAGCAAGGGAGTATGGCTCTTTCCTGGGGTGCTCAGGGCTGCAGGGAAACATCTCTGGGGGCTGCAATGCAGCACGGTGGCCTTTTTTTACGCCACAGCTGGATGTGCCCAACTAAAGGATGTTGCTGGAGGTCACAGGGTAGGATAGAGGCCACAACGCTGGATGGGACAGGGATTGGGGTGTCACTGTCCTGTGATCCCTGAGTCAGCAGTGCCACAGGCTGTAGGGGAGAGGCAGAAAGTGCCTTCTCTTTACAGGGAGAAATGCTGTACCCACTACTTCTAACCACAGTTCTGCAGCCACTCTGGCTGTATTTCACTGGCTTTAATTTTATCTTTTGCAGCTTCAAGGTCTGAGCTCTCCTGGCAGATATGCAGGCACAGTGCTGACTGGCATCTTCGTGCCAGCACTGCTGAGTCAGCTGCTGCTGAGAACCTGGGAGCTCTCCTGTGCACGGGACTCCTTGCTTACACCTCCTTCTGCTTTTGTAACCAGCTGCCTGAAAAGCTCTGCAAGACTCTGGGTTTGTATCTGAAGAAAGAAGGAGATGAGCAAAGTCCCTGGAGACATTGCGCATGAAGGAGCCTGTGTTTTCTAAATGCTTCCCGGGGGGAAGGATGACGCCTCATCTGTGCTCTCCCAGGGTCCTGCCTGCTCTCCTGTCGGGGAAGCGTGTCTGACTCTTCACTGCAGGCATCTGCAAATCTCCTCTCTGGTAGTTTATATATAACCCATTTTTCATGAAGGGAATTGCACTGGTGTGTGCTTATAAAGCAGCCTGGGGACCTGATCCAAATGTCCTCAGTTTTAACATCATGCTGCCGGGTTAGGAGAAGTGTCTGTGGCTAAGTTTGTAGGCTCAGATGCTACAGCTCCTCCCTGAAGCCAGACTGTTTTTGCTGTAGAGCTTTCTGCAAGTCAGAGCAGGACAAATTCGCTGTCTCTAGGCTTGCTCTGAAATGCACTGGAGGCTTTGACAGGGCTGGGGGCCTCAGGCAGGCTGTGCTGGAGCTGGTGACATCTGGAAGCAAGCAGACCATGCTGAAGGGGACAGCGGTGCCCAGGTGCCACCCTGGGGAGAAGGGCACTCTTCCCGCCATGCTAGGGAGAAGTAGTTGGTGAAGGTCTTCTTGCTGAACCTGGCATGTAGGAAAAAAGAAATTATAAATGTCACGGGACACAACTGAGTGCAGGGTAAAAATAGAGCACGTTTAGCTGGCTAACCAGTGAGCAACGCAGCTCTGTGTTCCTGGGGATCGCACCCAGTGCTCCCCGGGAAAATAGCTTCATGCATGGCCCCCCGAGGCTGCTTTGCGTCTTTTTTTTTGCAGGGTTGTTTGTTACAAGAGGCTTTGCAATGGTGTCTGCTAGTACTACCCCTGTTTAATTTAGCTACTCTGAATCTCCACAAATCCAGAAAGCCAGGCTGGTCTCCTCACAGGGGGTTTGGAACAAGCTGCCTGGAGAAGTCAGAAAAAGCAGAGACAGGAAGATATGCTTGGGTGCCCTTCCTCTCTCCTCCACTGCTCTCCTGGAGTTGTTGGAAAAATGAGCACCCTTGTGATAACG